GTCTGGAAACCACAGACTGGGAGGTGTTCAGGGCTGCTACAGATAATCTGGACGAGTACACTGACATTGTGACCTCTTACATACAGTACAATGAGGAGCGCATCCTACCAACGCGCACCAGGGTGCGTTATGCAAACGACAAGCCCTGGTTCACACCTAAGCTCGGCCAGATTCGACGAGAGAAGGAGGCAGCACGCAAGAGCGGGGACAGAGACAGCTACAAAGAGGTGAAATACAGGTTTAGCAGGGAGATGAGGAAGGCTAAATCTGTGTATGCAAATCGCCTCCAGCAGCAGTTCTCTGCCAACGACTCTGCCACAGTGTGGAGGGGCCTCAGGGCTATTACCAACTACAAGCCCAAAGCCCCCCGAGCTCTGAATGACCGGGCACTGTGTGAAAGACTGAATACACACTACTGCCGTTTCGACTGTCCCAGAGCCGTTAGCACCTCTCTGGTCTCTCCAGCCACCCCCTCCTCCCCCAACACAACTGAGGCCACTCCATCAAAGGCCCCCTCAATCCACCCCTTGTCCCCCCCTGCCCTCTGCATCCTGGAGCAGGACGTGCACAGACAGTTTCTGAAGCTGAACACCCGTAAAGCTGCTGGCCCTGACGGCGTTTCTCCCTCCACCCTGAAACACTGTGCCAGCGAACTGTCTCCTGTCTTCACGGACATTTTTAACATCTCCTTGGAGTCATGCCATGTGCCGGGCTGCTTCAAATCCTCCACCATTGTTCCTGTCCCGAAGAAACCAAGGATCACAGGACTAAATGACTACAGGCCGGTGGCGCTGACGTCTGTGGTCATGAAGTCCTTTGAGCGATTGGTTCTGCAACACCTAAAATCCATCACCGCCCCCCTCCTGGACCCGCTGCAGTTCGCCTACAGAGCCAACAGGTCCGTAGACGACGCAGTCAACCTGGCCCTCCACTTCATCCTGCAGCATCTGGACTCCCCAGGAACCTACGCCAGGATCCTGTTCGTGGACTTCAGCTCTGCCTTCAACTCCATCCTCCCGGGTCTGCTCCAGGACAAGCTGTACCAGCTCAACGTGCCCAGCTCCCTCTGCAGGTGGATTACTGACTTCCTGACGGACCGGAGACAGCACGTGAGGCTGGGAACAACTGTCTCTGACACACGGACCATCAACATCGGATCCCCCCAGGGCTGTGTCCTTTCCCCCTGGCTTTTCTCCCTGTACACCAACTGCTGCACCTCTAGCCATCAGTCCGTGAAACTGATCAAGTTTGCGGACGACACCACCCTCATCGGGCTCATCTCCGACGGTGATGAGTCTGCCTACAGGAGGGAGGTGGACCGGCTGGTGTCCTGGTGCAGCAGCAACAACCTGGATCTGAACACCCAAAAGACAGTGGAGATGATTGTGGACTTTAGAAAGGTCACAGCCCCACCGTCCCCCCTTGCCCTCACAGACAGCCCCACCCCCATCTCCAACGTGGAGTCCTTCCGCTTCCTGGGCACCACCATCACCCAGGACCTCAAGTGGGAGCCGACCATCAGCTCCCTCGTCAAGAAGGCCCAGCAGAGGATGTTCTTTCTGCGGCAGCTGAGGAAACTTAAGCTGCCAACCCGGATGTTGGTGCAGTTTTACACCTCCATCATTGAGTCCATCCTCACATCCTCCATCACCGTGTGGTACACTGGCGCCACCGCCAGGGACAGATACCAACTGCAGCGCATTGTGCGCTCCGCTGAGAAGGTGATCGGCTGTAAGCTGCCATCACTCCAGGACCTGTATGTCTCCAGGACCAGGAGACGTGCAGGTCGCATCACAGCCGACCCTTCTCACCCTGGACACAGACTGTTTGAACCTCTCCCCTCAGGGAGGAGGCTACGGTCCATACGGACCAGAACCTCCCGCCATAAAAACAGCTTCTTCCCCTCTGCCATAAGACTCATGAACACTATATGTCAGACTCCATAACCTGCCCATGCCATTCACACTGCTGTATTGCACACTGCTCTATTTGCACTATCTTGTACATTTTACTTTTTATATTTATCCATATTTTTATCTTAAGTGTAAATATTAGTATATTTTTTGCATGCCTTATACCCTAGTGTTTTTAGAGATTTTTATAATTTTATTTACTATTTCATATATGTTTCATGTTGCACGACTGTACCACAGAAATTTCCTAGTTGTGAACCTCTTCACTAACAATGGCAATAAACCCGATTCTGATTCTGATTCTGAATTAAAGGAAAGGAAATCTTAGTCATGATAGTCAGGTGCTTCTGACCGAGCAGGCCGGTTCCAAGTCCTATTTAGAAAAATGAAATCAACATCTCCGTAAAACTTGTCAGCAGAGAAAAAGCACCATTCTTCGTCAAAGTTCTGGGACCTTGATATAAAAATTTTCTTCATGAAGGATTTATTTGAAAACAGGAACACACTGAAAACACTGAGGTAAAGTTGGGTCTTTTGTTTCTGCAGTCCAGGCAGGACACTTCTAATTGCGTCTCTTGTTGAGAAGGGGTTTACACAAGGAATTCCACAGCTGTGTCCACGTCCTGGGTAAGTCTGGGTGTGGCAGCGCTCCAATTTATCCCTAGTTTAAATCTTGCTTTGTGAGCTCTTTATTATTGGGAAAAGCCAGAATTTTCAGCTATTACTTTTTCTCAGGTTCTAGGAGACTGTAAGCTATTTTCTATGCATATTCTCATTCTCCACCAGGAGACCTCGATGAGCACATGGCTGATTGTCACAGTTGTATCCTATCAACCTCATCCAGTAGCTGTGTTCATAAGCCTGCTGTCAGCCCTTAAATGCCATAGGTTTTGCCAAGATTCTGCCATGCCTGCTGTTCAAACCTTTGAAACATGCATCAACATTCAAGTATCAAGATTATTTACTGGTTTCAAACTCTGGCAGAAGTTTTGGACCTCATCGCTCCTGGATGGAGACCTATCCATCTCCCACAGAGCACGTTTAAATCATGACAAGAACAGCCTCTGTCTGTTCTCAGGTTCATATTTCAGACCTACAATCTCCTTCTGGCAGATTTCCCAAAGCTGTTTTGAAAATATAGGTGAAACCAAATTCCTGAATCCTGATTGTCATCATCCCCTTGCTGACCTTTCGACACATACCTTTATGGAAAAATAACTCTCTTAAACCATCTGCTACTCATCGCAACTGAACATCTCTTCCCAAATGATCCCTGCACCAAAGCTGATCTTGAATTGCGAGAGAGAGAGAGAGAGAGAGAGAGAGAGAGAGAGAGAGAGAGAGATAGTTTCAAAAATACTTTTAAGACTATTTTTGTCTAAAAAAAAAACAAACTGCAACTTTTAGATATTAATATAGATACAATCTAATCTTTTAAATATACCACTTTGTGTGAAACAACACATTTATGTTTGTTAGAAAATTGTATATGTTATCATTTTATTTCAAGTTACAGGTATCTGCTCCAGGAATGTTAAGTGTTGCTCTAAATGAGGAGAGCAAATAGTTCTCTCAGGGCCTGGTATTATTCAGCTATGTAGCCGTAGGTAACTGATAACATCATACCCCCCCTGGTAGCGTTTGACCACTTCCTTTGAAGTCCAATAATAAAAGCAGCAGAAAAGAGAGGTTTGGACAGAGTTGAGTACAGAATTGTCAAGGGGTCTCACCCTTGGTCTGTCGTCTCTCTCACTTTTCTGCAGAAAAGAAACGAATACTTGCTCTGTTTGGTTTTTATTTCTAGGACAATAAGTGGTTATGATTATTAACCCTATCAATGTGATTCATATAAATAGAATGAATAGTGTAGTCAAAAAAATTGTTTGCAATGATGCATTGAATAGAAAACTACAAGCAGGTCACATCAGATGTATTTTTTCTGAAAAACAGCTTTTCTGTTTGGACTGAATCTACACTTTAGGATATAATTAGATTGGATTATTTTCATTTTGCTATGAACATTAAACCACTACAAAGTGGATTTATTTTTTATCATAACTGTGGCTGGAGGTCTGGGTTAAAATATAGACCTTAGCAGGTCTGTGACTATCAGCAGTTATCTAAGGGTACAGCAACTGGTTGCTTTTGTGTTCCTATATTGTAAAGAAACATACCATTTATATTGAAAAGCAAGAGACAGTATGGAGTTCTGAAGTCAGGTGGAGATATAGAAGATCAGCATCAGACCATAAGGTCCCAAAGAACTGAATGAATTAAAAAAAAAAAACTTTCCCTGCAGAAACGTTCAAAAAGAAGTTGGCCCTGGAACCTGAACCTACATGGGGAAAGGATCAGGGCTAGGGAAATAAAGAAGTCCAGAGATAGTTGGAGGGCTAAACAACCATTTCTCAACATAGGAAAGCAGAGAAAGCTGTGACTCAGTTTGTTAATTTCCAAATCTGATGCAAAACATGTTCCCACTTAATAGGCAGGAAAGCCTGGAGCTGTGTTGAATAATGCTTGGGATCACATTGGGGCCATTGCAGAATTCAGATTACACTTTGTTAGAGCATCTATTTACAGACAGGTCTTTGTATCATACTCGTATTTTTTTCTTCTGGAATAAACTTATCATGAAATGTTTATTGTTGTTGCAAGAGACTGAGAGTGTACTGAATTCAATGTACATCCATTCACAATTCTTGGTAATTTATTTATTTTACATTTGAAAAAAAATTAAAAACACATTAAAGCAAACAGTATTGCATTAATCCCAATTCCACCCTCAGATTTAAATACACATGCAGGATAGTGGTCTGAACTGCTGGATACCCTGTGGGATGAAAAATAAAACCCAAAGTTTGTGACTGAGTGCCAAAAGTCTTACTTTAATAAAGGGGAAAGTAAAGAACAGGTTAAATGTATGTGTAGCCCTATATATTCTTATTTCAGAAAACTTTAAAGCAATACTTTCACAGATGACTGAATGTTTGACAGCCTGCACATGTTTAAGTAAATTACAATACAAAGTGCATTTTGAAAGACCACGATTTATTTGTTAACATGAACAAAAGTATTTGGTTTTGGTTTTTGGTGGTCTGGTCAGCTAAAATAAACAGTTTGTGACAAACAAAGGACCTTTAGGTTAACAATAGATGAGTCAGCTGCTTCATCTATCTAAATCATTGTCCTCTTCATTCTAGGGGAAGTGGCACTTTGAGCGATCCAGACCACAAGCAGTCCTTTATAGATCGTCCCTCCGGCTTACATAAAAAGTCTGTGTATTTAATTTATCTCAGTGGCATTTATTGCCTATTATCTGTTATCCATGCTCTCATCTCCTCTCCAATCCCCAGAGGATATTTGATCGCTTTGCTCCTGAATTAGTTCTCTATCCTTCCTGTATTTGTCAGGACACTCTTTGCTGCTCACAAAAGCAATTCTTCCTTTTCTGGTTAGTGAACAGTGGTGAGACCTGGGTCGAGACGAGGTTCTGTTTTCCTTTTTCCTCCAGGACTTCTGCTCCTATGCAGTCCTGCTCTTGTTCTTCAAAACATAGACGATGGGCCAGTGGGATTTCAGTCTGCCTGAGGGCTTTCAGTGCACATGTCCCTACATGAGGACAATTTGAGATGACGACTGACAGGGGAGGTTGAGAGATTGCTACCAGGCCGCCCCCTACAGGAGAGATATGAGCAGGATGCTTACTGGAATTTTTTACAGCTGCTGCTTCTGATGGGCACTGTGAAGAGGCTAAATTTGAACTTGTTTGCTTTGAGTCTGATTGAGTCCATGTAAGTGTTGTGTATGTAGAGTTTCGATCACTGCCGCTACTCTCTAACACCTGATGTCGGCCCAGGATGTGGCGCCAGATAATCCGACGGAAAGTCTTTCTGAACTCCCGGATACGGTAGGCGTAAATGAAGGGGTTGATCACTGAGTTGGCATGAGAGAGGATGATGGCAAAGTACATAATCCAAGCAGGAGGAGGGCGGCACTCAGGGCAGAACAGGGTGAAGCAGTTAATGATGTGCAGAGGTAGCCAGCAGACTGCAAACAGCCCAACAATGATGGCCAAAGACTTAGCAGCCTGAACCTCCTTCTGCAGTGTGGAGCGTGACTTTTCTCCATGAAATGCTTTCACTTTTATCAACTTCAGTTGGTGGCGAGCTGCCATAAAGATGCACAGGTAGATGGCAAGCATCAACAAGAGTGGGATTAGAACAAAGGCAAAGAAGTTGAAGTAAACCATGTACTCCATCGTCACCACATCCATAAACAAACACTCCATCAGGCCGGGCTGGCAGCTGCTGTTAGTGCTCTTGGTGCTGTTGGACACTTCATGCCAGCCCATCATTGGGGTCAGACCAATGATGATTGAGAGAGCCCAGCAAATGGCTATGATGCCTTGAGCCCGCTGGCTTGTCACCAAACTGTTGTACCTGGACAAGGAAAAGGAAATGCAAAGATTAAGCATAAATTAGCAGATTGGGTTAAACTAGATCTCATGGCATTTTGTGAAACCCGTTCTTAAAATTTTCTGCTTGTTTTAATCTGTTATCTTGACATCAATCTAACTGATCCCTGATATGTCCTACAGATTTTTAGGGCATTTCTCTTAGTTTTCTCTCATGTGATCTCAGGGTATTGCTGCTAAATACACTAACGACTCAGCAGGTGCATGTATGTATCAGCTGATAAAATAGAATAAAAAAAAACATACTAATACTCAAAAGTATCGGCCTGCCATTTATCACTCTTTCTCTAATTTAAACCTAAGCTGTTCAAAAGCTTTAAACCATAACCTTAAAATCCAACATTTGCTTTACTTAGACTCTAAAGCAAGTAAATGTCTGATTATTGAAAACAAGTTAGTGATTTGTTTAAGTGTTTAAGTGAAGCACAAATGTATCATATGGAGAGAAAGAATTTTAAAAAACAACCAAAAAAGCATTTAACAAGGGAGCATCTTCTACACAACAACTATGCTGCTCTGGACTTTGAATTGAGCACAAAATGGGACGTTAAAAATAAGAAGACTTTTTTTTTTTGCTTCACCGAAGAGAACATGAATCTGGACAGTCTTGTTAGCTACCAACATTAGTGGCATAACAAGAAGATCCCAATAGAAAATGTTCTCCAAAGAGTGCTGTCCTGTGTGTTGTTTTCAGTGAGTTTTTAACCAGGACAACAACAATGAAAAAACCAACTGCTTCTTGACAAATGTGTCCCTTGGTTAAGCATGGTCCCTAAATCTCACTGAAGGTTTGAGAAGATGCATGGCAAGGGAGTATTTCAAACTACGGAAGCCATTAATGAGGCCAGTGACACTGCATGGAGCTACTTCCCCAGAAGCCTTAAAGTGTTTTGCAATGCATTATAAACAGGTATTGCATCAAGCAGTTATAAAACAAAGTTTTGAAACAAGAATGAAGTAGGTACTTACTAGCCAACTGAATCAACTGAAGCTTTTTTTTCCTTTTTCTTTTATGGCTATGCTCTTTGACTTTTACGCAGGTAATGGACATCCTGTTTGATTCAAACTAGGACTAAAACAGTTCACAATGCTTTTGAAATAACGTTAAAAATAAGTGAAAGACTAGTGTGATCTACTTGATTTAAGAATTACCCAGTTGTTAATACAAGTGCACACAATTTAAGACTCTGTGGTTAAAGTAAGGATTGGCGCCTAACTGTAACTGTTAATCTGAAGTCCCACGATGAACATCCAATATGACTGCGGTGAAAATCTGCAGGTTAAAAGTATTCATCATAACTTTACACATCTGTGTCATCGCAAACTAGTGCTACACAGTACAATCCAAACTTTAAGTTTTATTTTTAGTTAAATTTTTCTAGAATTGCGTTCCTTAAAGTGGCTTCATGTTAAAGTAGTGCTGCTGGCTTGACTCTGATATTCTTTTTTAAGAGAACTTTTTGGATCAGCTTCTTTTTCTTCTTCTTTTTATTCTTCATGTTGAATGCCCTGAAAATGGAAGGATTTATACAGATTTTTTTTTTTTTTTTACTTTTTGGATGCTGGTTATGCTGTATGGCCACAGCAACCATAGTAAGTTGAATTTTTAAACCTGGGAACAGTTAATCAACAAAACTTAAGCTGAAATAATAGTTCAACTACTTCTGCATACCGACTGAAGCAAAAATTAGGTGCTGGGGATGCAGAGCAGGAGCAAGGAGAAGAGAGAGGAGAGAGAATTTTTAGCCACCTCATCCATATGGGCAATGTGAGATCCTTAGGAAACACGTGAAAGAACTCAAGGAAAGACCAAGCAACACTATCAGCAATGCTACATTCCCTGTTTTACTGAAACATGGCATCAGGATCATATTTTAGACTCCAGCGTCTCTCAGCCAGGATTTTCTGACCAAACAGGCAGTCAGACATGGTACCAAATGATTTTGTGGCAATAGCTGATTATTTAAATGATGCCTCAATGTCTAATGCACTGCCAAATTTCAAACAGTTTGTCAGTTGCTGTACCAGAGAAAACTAAACTTTCGACATGTTAAATATAGATGTTGAGGACTCCTACATCTCTGTTGTAAGACCTCCTCTTGGGAAATTGGATTAGAATCTTGTTTTTCCCTTCTCTAAGTATAAGCCACTTTTATAAGAGGCAATCTGCATTAAACAAAGATGGTGACAGCAAGGTGCAGAAGCCCTGCAAGTTTGTTTTGAGGCTACAGACTAGGAAGCATTTTGTCAGCCACATGGAGAGGACAGCAATGCAATGACTGAGTGAGTGAGTGACTGACTAAATGAACTTCTGTGTAGATAACAGCATCCACAGAAGAACAGTGAAATGCTTCCCAAATAATAAACCATGAATCAAGGAAGGAAATGAAGGAAATGATAAACAAAAAGACCCTTTAAGAAGGGAGACAGTGAATTAATGAGGAGTTTACAGAAGAAACTTAGGTTAGATTAAGAAAAAGTACGGATGCATACAGGAAGAATTTGAAAATCAAGCTTCAGCAGAAAGAAGATAACAAGCTGAAAGATGCCATTACACACTTGCAATAAAAATCCACTGTCATTTAGACAAGGCAGATAGCACTGTGAAGATCATGTTCTTTGTTTTCTCCAGTGCATTTAACACAATTCAGTGAGACTTATTTTGTCGGAAACTCCAGAAGACTCAGGTGGAGGCATTAATAAATGCCTGGATCAAGGACAACCTGATAAACAGACCACAGTTTGTCTGTGACTGAAAGTGAAGGGTCACCTGTCTCATCATGTTGTCAGCAGCACAGGAGCCCCACAGGAAATGGAAACATCAGTTTCTTTTTACTATGTACAACTTTGACTCCCAGTATAAGACAAACTTCTGTCATCTGCAGAAATACTCTGATGACTTTGCAGTTATTGGGTGCGAAGATACAAATGTGCAAAGATGGACAAGAAGCTGAATACAGGGAACTACTGAACCGCTTTGTGACATGGTGTGGAAAGTTTCATCTGATCCTGAATGTCATCAAAACAAGGGAGATCTTTGTAGATTTCGGAAGGAACACAAGTTGCTTCCTATTATGATCAATATTATTATTATTTATATAATAATATATTTATATAATATATTATTATTATTATGATCATGGAAGAAAAATACCTTGGTGTTCACCTGGAAAACAAACTAGACTGGAGACACAACTGTGAAGTCGTCTAAAAGAAGGGTTATAGCAGATTGGACTTCCTCGGAATATTAAGCTTAAGTCCTTCATCGTTTGCAGCAGACTTAGGCTTAGACAACTTTATTTTAGAGTATTTCGTATAGCTTTCATGACATTTCAATTTCTTAAAGTGCAGCAGTGATCAAACGTATCTTCTATAAGTTTGTTTTGTAGAGTGTAATCTCTTTTGCCATAATCTGCTGAGGTAAGAGCATCAAAGTGAATGACTTAAAAACTCAACAAGCGAATAAAAGGCCTGTTCTGTTCTAGGGACTCTGGAGATGATTTTACAAAGAATAATTCTTTAGAAAGTGAGGAAAATTATAGACAACAGTGGGCATTCTCTTCAAAAGATTGTTAAATAGCAACAATGGTGAGACAGTAGCAGAAGAAAG